TTGTTAATAGATCAAAATGGTGTTAAACAACATATAGCTAATTTATATGCCAAAAATGACTACACCCAGAGAAAAAGACTTTTCACAAGTATATATACATAAACTGAGGGCCAAAAGAAACGTTACCAACATTAACTGATTTGCCACTTTGAAACAAAGATGTCAACCTGTTCAAAAACAGTAAAGAACACATCTCACGAATACAGCCTTCATGTTCTCTGTCGTTCTTTATACGTGCTTTGCGGATTTTGGGGGATATTGGTGTTTTTCAGCAATTTTTTAAAACATTCTTTCCCAAATTATCGTGCAAATTACGCACGGATCTGTTCCCTATCATTGGTTGCGATGATAAACACCAACGAACATGCCAAGACTGACCGCTGTCCAGAAGGAGAGAGCCATGGGTATGCTGCAGATGGGAGCGACACAGAGAGAGGTTGCCATTAACATGAAGTGCTCTGAGATGACCATTACAAGACTGGTCGCACGTCTCCGACAGACTGGCAGAACCGCAGACAGACCACGGAGTGGCAGACCAAAGGGATGACCGCTTTTTACGGGTACTTCATCTGAGGAACAGATTTCTTACTGTGACGTCATCAGCTGCCAACAGCTTAGGACATCCGGTCAGCAGACAAACAGTGACCAGACGACTACGACATTATGGTCTCCGGGCCCTTTCAAGGGCATGACCTTGACCCGTCAACATCGACGTGCCAGATTGACGTGGTGCAGGCAAACTCAGCGATGGCAACAAAGGGAATGGCGGTGAGTGCTATTTAGTGAAGAGAGCAGGTTCCAACTCTTCAAACCTGATGGGCGGACGCGAGTTTATCGACGACGTGTTGAAGGTACGGCTCCTTGTTGTGTCCAGGAGGTGGAACCTTACGGGGGCGGAAGTGTTATGGTCTGGGGCGGCATTTGCGAGGACGAGAAGACGGAACTTGTCAGCACCGAAAGCAATCTGACAGCACAACGCTACATTGACAATATCTTACGGCCAGTGGTTCCTCCTTTCATCCAGCGTCAACAACGGACGGTGTTCCAACAAGATAACGCCACACCTCATAAAGCCCGTATTACTAGGACTTCCTAAACGCCACCAACGTGACTGTCCTGCCGTGGCCATCTCGATCGCCAGATCTGTCACCCATAGAACATCTCTGGGAACAGCTGGGGCGTCGTCTTCGGTAACGTCAACATCCTCCTTTCACGAGGCAAGCGTTGATCGTTGCCCTCCGTGAGGAATGGAATCGGATACCTGCAGTCGATGTGAGGACGCTTGTCTACTCAGTTCGACGCCGCATTCGAAGATGCATTGCCGCTCATGGAGGTCATATCCCGTATTGAACGGTCTGGGCCGTCGTCACCTTAAAGTTGTAACCAATGTTGTTGATCGAATACTGGACGAATGACCCCTTGTCAAGAAATGTCCCTGTTGGAGGTCAAGGACTTTGTTGTTGAATTAGTAAATTCGCATTTTACTGTTCTGAATGATGAATTTCTACAATACAATTGTTATTGCTGCTTCAAATTGTGTTGGTCATATTTTATCCTAGAAATATCGTTGGTAACGTTTCTCTTGGCCGTCAGTTTATTTTAGGTCTATTCCAAATATTAAAGACATTATTTTAGGTGGTGATTTTAATTCGGTGTTTTATCCCTCTTTTGATAGACTAGGCAAGAATGTTAATACAAGACTTAGCTCAAAATTACATAACTTAATTAAGGCATATGATTTGATTAATATTTGGAGATATAAGCACCCAAACAAACGAAGTTACACGTGGAAACGCAACAACTGCACTCAGTCTCGCATTGACTTTTTCCTGATTTCAAGATGTTTGATAAATATGATGAAACCTGTTGATATAATACCAAGTTTGAAAACAGATCGTAGGATGATGCAAATAGAATTGACTGTAAACCAAAAAAAACACAAAAAATATCTGGAAAATCAACAATTACCTTCTCTGTGATTCTGAATATGTGGAAAAGAGTCAACGAGTCAACAGTTTCTACAAAGTGACATGAAAAGTGACCTCTCAAATGATCTTGTGATATGGGATTAGATAAAGTTCCGTGTTATGAACATAACTATATAGAGTACTTCACGGATAAACAGAAAAAGCGTCTGCAGAAAGAAAGAACATTACTAAAGAAAATTGCAATTCCAGAGGACAAACTTACTGATATTTTTATTAAGGATAAGGAGGATGAAAGCAATAAACTAAAGAAAGAGTTAGAAGACATATATAACGATAGAACGGACGGCGCAAGAATAAGGTCAAGGCTCACTCAATTGGACTGAACTAGGAGAAAAGAATAATAAATAGTTCTTTAATCTAGAAAAGTCAAAACAGGGAAGCAAAATAATCAGGAAACTGAGGAAAGAAGATGACCAGTGATGATGGGATTCTCAATTTACTTTTTACATAATATAGTCACTTATATTAAAACTCCAAGGCTTCGAAAGAAGCGATATTCAACTTCTCTCGTGTCAATCTGAAACAAATATAGATGACATAGATTTTTACACTTCTAAACCGGAAGCAGCAATTACAGAACAAGAATTGCAGAAAGCGCTCGAACAAATGAGATTGAATAAGACACCAGACAGTGATCGGCTAACTGTGGAGTTTTTTCACTACTTCTGGAATGATATAATTTGTTTGTTGTTTAACGCCGCACTCAGCACTATTCCAGCTATATGACGGCGGTCTGTAAATATTCGAGTCTGGACATCATGAGCATCGATTCATGCAATTGGAATACGATGACATGCATCAACCAAGTCAGCGAGCCTGACCACCCGATCCCGAAATGATATTAAGAAACACTATGTAAAAGGACAATTTATGGCTTTAGAAATTGGTGAACTCTCCACCTCCCAAAGGCGTGGAATCGTAACAGTTTTGTGACAAAAGGAAAGGATCCTGACCTAGTGTTAAGCTATCAGACCTATTACATTACCTATTAAATGTAGATTATGAGATATTTGCCAAATTGTTGACAATTCGAGTTAAACCCTTATAAGAAGAGCTTGAACATGAATCGCAATCAGGGATTCATTGAAGGTAGAATTATACATGAAACTATAAGATTGTGAATGGATTTTTTACGAAGAAGAAAGCTATGTTATTTAGATTTCGAGAAAGCATTTGACTCTATTGAACATATTTTTTTGTATGCTACCCTGGAGATGTTCAATTTGCCTAAACAGTTTATAGAGTTAGTTAGACTTTGCTTTACAAATACAAATAGTCGTGTTATTAATAACGGGCGAACTACCAGAAATTTCATAAATAGTAAATAGAAGACAAAGCAGGGATGCCCTTTGTCTCCAATAACATTTATTTTGTGTGCAGTAGTTACTTGTTCAGGAGTCAAAGGAGTGTTGTTTGCGGATGATTCGGTGGCAACTGTTAAATACCAGAAGTCGGTAAGACGTACTCTAATTTTTTTTATGAAAACCAGACCTATGTCTGTTACCTGTAATAAGGACTTTAGTCCACCTTTCAATATAAAAAAAATCAAGATATAAATATAAATATTTAGGAATTATTGTTGATCAGAATGATCTTAATTATGACAAAGATACCTTAGAAAATCATGAAAAAGTTATGGAAAAAAGATTTGATCAGTGGCTTAATAGGAATTTGACGATGTATGATGGATCTCTGATCAGTAAAGCTGAAGGAATGTCTATATATATAGATGCTATATCAGTCAAAATATCGTATTTGAAATGTTGAAAAGGTAGTTATTTAAATTTATTTGGAAAAGTAAAACTGAGAAAGTTGACCGAGTAAAGTTATTGGGGGCATATGAAAAAGGGGGTATAAAAGCTTTGGATTTAGAATTGATGAATACATCCACTAAGATAGTATTGCTGATTAGATATTTTCAGAAAGGGAAAGAGAACTTTGACAAGTTAGATTCTTTAAAATTTCTGTTACATTGTAACAACACAATTTCGAGTTTGAAGGTGAAGTTGCTGTTATTTTATAGAGAAATCTTGGAATATTGGAAAGAAGTATAAAATTGTCAAGATGTTGATATTTTTAATGGTATTATTTCGAAAAATTGTCAATACAAAAAGTGTTTATGATCGTGAATGGAAACAATCTGGTGTTACATTTGAAAGAGACTTATTAGATGAAAATGCAGTGTTTCTTTCAAAAAGCCTTAAACAGGAAATTACACATTGACATAACACAACGCAAATATAATACATATATTAATCCAGTTAAGAAGACAACTGATTGTAATCTCTTTTACGAATTCTCAAAAAATAATAGTAATAATACCGATCTTGATAACTTTCCAACAGTTGATGGTATACCTTTGAATGTTATTCCTACAAAATTTAATTGTTTCTATGAGTTTCTGCTTACGAAAAAACTTGTAACTTAGAACATCCAGCAGGAAAAAGAACTATGTTTACAGTATCAATCATTTGCCTGTCGATAATAAATACAAACAGCTTGTGTTTAAAAATATGTCACAATATGATAATATTCCCTGTAATTACTACCTACATAAGATAAATATTATAGACTCTGATGCCTGTGAAGAATATGGTCAGGTATACACTCCAACAATTAAATTTTACCAAATAACGTCAATAGATTTTTTAATGTATTTTTTATATTTCAAAAGCAGTTTATTCAGATTTAGTAATACAGGATTATTGCCAGTGTGTCGTTATAGGATTTATACTACAAACTTCTCATTCTCAATCCCTCAATTATATGTTATTATCAGCAAAATGTTATGTATATCGCTCAAGAGTAATAAAAGTTATCTGTATGTTTGATAATCTTGTAAAAGAACTCAAGAAAATTATACAAATAATGCGACAAAGCAAACGTAAGGAGAATTTAAATTTTATTAAAAAAATAGACTTATTTATTGATATATTAACTGTTTTTTTGTTACTTATTATTCTCAGTAATGTTAGCATCACACCAAGCCCTATACCTCTAGTTATGTGAGTCTGTAAGGGTTAACTGTAAAACCGTGGCAAGTATCTTGAGAATAAACAAAAAACAAACCAAAAACCATCATTGCAACGCGAAATAACATCATCTAGTTGGTATTATTTGTTTCAAATTTGAAAATGTAGCTGAGATTTCCTGAAAATGTTCGTCGGTTACGAATAAGACTGTCTCTATATTTCGATGCGAGGGAGACTTCGGCTGGACTCCATTCTATGTTGGGCTGTAGAGACAGCATCAGTTTCTGGAACAGAATGAAATGAGTGTAAATATTCAAACAGGAGAATCGACTGGTTCATTGACAAAAATAACAACATGAAAATCATTCATATACCTGTGTGTTTCTAATGTGAATTACTTGGTAAAGTCAATTATGAAGAAGCTTTCAAAACATGTTGGTTCAGAGGACATTACCAAATTTGACGCATCAGTGACAAAAATGATGTTCGATGCAATTTCCTATTTTGACTTGTACCACAATTTGCCGTGCTTTTTCACGTGAACAGTTGACTTGCTTTTGCATGTGTTTGTTACGAGTGCCACAGGACGGGCAAGATCCGCTCTCCTTTTCGCGAACACATGGTATCATCGCTATTGTATGGTGATTCATAAACACATACTCATGATATAGTAGGAATCGTACAATCGGCTCTTTTTTTGACGGAGATTTTTTATGAACATGGAAAGAGTGTTGATGCTTTTATTTACATGCATACACTTTACTTGGTTGGTAATGTAGGTCATTTTATGCAGTTACATAATTTTTCCAAAGTATTAATTTGTACAGGCCAATATTTAGGTATCTATAGTGTAGCAATTGGTAACGTGATTAGGTATTTGTTCATGCACAGGTATAGTTTAGGATCTCATGGAATAGATGGTGCATACATGATCATTTTCGACCAAATATATATAATACTAAAACTAATACTAATGACCCATACAATACACCAAGGTTAAAACAGCGTGTACTGCGAGGAGCACATACGTGTCAGTAGATGACCAGTCACCTTTTCCTTGGCGTCTTGACAGCTGTTCTTGTCATCCACCTGTTGCCTTACCTGTCGCAGAGTTGATCCTCGTTGTTTTCTCAGTTCTATTATCATCATAATCGGAATAGGAATCACTGGCAGCAGGGCAATCACCCACCCGACCACGGTTGCCTCTCCAGGGTAGGTGTACTTCCCGTAGGTGGGGGACTGGTACTGTACAATCGTCATGAGGAACACAATCTGTAGGTCAAGAAAACAAAACACAAAAATACATACACGTCTCCTCTGAACAAAGATCAGCATAGGATTTCCGACGAAAAGTAGTGTAAATTTGAACTCTACATGCCACATAAACATATGAGGCCATTTTGGGGGGCAATTTGGGCATGATAAACCTATTGAAAGGGTTATTTTCATGATTAAAACATAAGTTAAACAAGTTGGGTACAATAAAACCCGAAGCACTTGAAAAGGTCAGTATATATAACTCAAAGACTTGGAAATAACTATCTACACACAAAGGAAATTCGTATTATTCGTATGAAGAAAGAGTACTAAATTTACTTAATTTAATCCATTGTCTACGAGGTTATCGTATGACATACGGTCTGCACAGTTCATGCTGTTGGTGCATCTACAGGCTACACTCACAACAAGTATTCCAGGAGTGATGAATCCCAACATAACTTTCAGCAATACAGGCAAATGACGTCCAGACATCGTGTTGATATCATCACTTAGCTGCTTGATACCTGAATGCATTAAGATGCGCAAATTAAAAAGCTGTAGAAGCACTTACATAAAATTGCATGTTAACGTAGGTTTGATACCCCTTACTGGCATATCAATAAATTACGGTTGCAACAGATAACTAATATTTACTGTCAGTTTTTATTATCACCAAATATATATACATATACTACGCTGTCAATGTCTATAACAGTTACATACTAGTGAAACGTTTTGCGCATTCATCGAGTCCTTACCGTAGAACCAGACAGCAGCCACACACTCCAGGGTACAGAAGAGGAACACCGAGAGAGCCGCCAGGTACCAGTCCAGGAGTTGCATGATGTACGGACCACCCTGAAAGTATGGGCAGGAATATCTTGTAAAGATGTGTTCAACAACTTTATATGTCAAAGTGACAATCATTTCTCCATAAGACTGTATGACAAGATGAATAACAACGTTCCAATTGTCATTTTTTCCTTTGTGTTGATGAATATTCCAGAAGCTCCAGTCTTTTAATGACGACATTTCAAAACTTTTGAGGCCTTTCTACCAAGATCGAAAAGCTCTTCATACGCCACTCGGTCAAAATTTGCTTAATCAGGCTTAAAACATTCAAGACCTGAAGTAACAAGCAGTGGTCTCTAATTACTTTTATCTACAATAAAATCACTTTGTCTTATGGTGTAATCTCGACTCGTATATGGATGTGTTGTCAGGGCCTTGAGTATTTAACAATACTCTTTTATCACAAGAAAATAATTCTTAGTCATGTTATGTGCAAGATCTCAGACTAGTACATATTGTTGGCAAAGGTGATAACATTGAAATACTGTTCAAAGCAAAGTATAAAATGCACACCTTCGCATGACTTTTAAGAATCAACAAAAAGTCGAGTCGTGTAATGTAACATGTCAGCAGATAACCTTAGTCTATGTACGTTTGATTAATACTTTCCAGGGATAACTCCCATTTCTAACTGTGATGTGTTATCAATTATGCTGCTTCAACAACAGACAAAATGTTTTGGACAAGACATTAAACTTCCTCGTCTCCTCTACTGTGCTGCAAAACGAAACATTTCTTAAACCTTTATCTTAACTTGTACACAGCAAATGTAATCGGTAATCCCAAATTAACATGCCAAAATCAGTAAATGCGCAATCGTCTCACAGAAGTTTCTGGTCCATCATTTGACTGCATCGTTTGCTTACAGACCGCTGTCGCTTGGCAGGAGGACTGCTGTGCGGCATCAGCCAACAAACAGATACTTGGTTTATTATGCAAATTGTAGGCGTGGCGGCTGCTGACAACAGGGCAAGATTTATGTTCACGGCTATTTTGCCGAAATGGAATCTGTTTCAGCGGATAATGGAAACTGATTATTCTCTGGCGTTGACGTATAATATTTACCTGTGTGCATATGATAATACCAAGCAGAAATGCCACCAAACATATAGCTGCAGTAACAAATACTCTTTTAGGCCCAAGCGTCTTTGGAAATTGATCTAGCATAGCAGTAGACACGATTTCCGCATATAGGAACTGAAATAACAATTAATACAAATGACGTTCACCGACAAGATGAGGTGGACAGTTATGAAAACAATGACCTTTAAATTTCATATATAACAAATGCCCTGTTTGGGATAAAGTACAGATTCTGGTACATTTTTGGGATGAGTCACGTCCGGGATTCGAACCCACACTGCCAGAGTGGCACCTAATCGGCAGCCAAGTTGTCAGAGGGGTACACAAAGTACGTGATCTAGACTACCAGTTGTTAGACATTCAGTTTTGTGAAAGCCTCTGTGGATGAGTGGGTTATATTGCTGACATTGTGTGCTGGCGATTAGGTGCCTAAATCTGGCAGAGTGGTTTCAAATCCCGGACGTGACCCATCCCCAAAATGTACGAGAATCTGTACTTTGAATTTCATGTTCATGTTAATACAATTGTGGGACTGTTAGCTATGGTAATTAAACCATAAATACATTAAATGCGACACGATGCCTGCTAAATGCAGTCTATTGTACAATTGTACAATTGTGACTATGAATCACTGTAACAGAGTGACGATGTCAGGTGCAACAAACTCAGGTCAAGAGCTCGCCTAAAGCAACAGTGAAATATGTGGTATAAGTCAAATGAGGGAACTGCGTCGAACTCATTGTGCAACAGTGTCCTAAAATATACGACTTCTAACTCACCTGGCTGTCTAGACCAACAGTTAGTAGCATCAGAAAAAAGAGAAACGACCACATCTGCGGCAGTGGAAGATAGGAAAGGGCTTCTGGGTAGGCAACAAACAACAGTCCTGGACCTATATAGGATAGACAGAGATAGATAGAGAAAAAGCTATATTTACATGCATATTATTTCCACATTGTTTTCTCCTGAATGAACAAAACGATAATGTGTCTTTTCTATCACCGGTAGATAAAACATCAATCAGAACAACCAAATTTCAGTTTTACGGTACACATTCAGATATTGTTCAAATGACTTTCTATATCTTCTACTGCCATCAAGATATAATTACACGTGTCAAAACCCTTTAAGTCTATTAAAGAATACCTACTAAAATCAGAGACATTTCTAAGCTTCTGACCATATCATGAACATGTGTCCATGGATCACAAACACTTGCAAAGGCTAGCCAATTGTTTACCTAAAAAACATGTTGTACAAGACAAAATACGGAATACCATTGGACATCATTTTTGCCACTGATGGGTCAGATTTAGAAACGCCTTCCACATGTCTACTTTAAAACATGTTAAAGCTTTACTGAGGCCTGAAGCAAGAATACAATTTGATGTGATGAAATAGACATGGACTATGGAGATAACATTGAAAAAGTTCCACATTTTCAAGGTTTTTCGGAAGCGCTTTTCCAATGTATTAATCAAGTGCTGATTAAGTTTAATTGAAGTGTAATTTCCAGTGGTTGATATTATAAGCAACATGGGCACAAGCCTTACAGCCAAATCCGGTTTTGATACCTCTTACGACAAGCAGTAGAGTGCTCTGTACCTTTTGTAGCCAGGGTCTCCACGGGAGTGTTTGATTGGATCGTGGAAGACATTAATTTTGCCCTTTCTCTCAGTTTTACTTTTAACATCATACGAATTTGTCACAAATAGTTACATAAAAATCGTGTTAAATCACCATTCAATTATGTCGGGGCTGGTATTTGTAACAAGTGTACAATGATCTGCGACTTGAAGAACAAATGCCAGTACTCGACGGGAAACAGTATTGCAATATGATAGACATTATTGTTAAACGGTGAATTACTAATGCTGTACATTTACCATTTCAAACAAGTAATATTGTGTTGTTTCAAATACCACATTGACATATTAAAAGAAGAGATTTGACTCAGAAGTATTATCAATAGTACTTGCTGCAATTACAGAAGTAAATTATTCTCCCATAAAGTGTGTAGCTGCATGAACAGGCCTTGATGCAATTTCATTCAAAATAAATTGTTTTTATTTAAAACTGTGAGCCCAAATATATTTCATTTGGCAGGCAATATTTATTTTCAACAGTTCGGGGCATAATTATTTTTTTCTAGAGTGAGTCAGTGAGTTGGGTTTCACGCCGCTTTTAACAGTATTACAGTTATATCACGGCGTGTCAGCTTAATGTGGGAGGAAAGCTCAAAGTGATGCAGGTCTTAGACGTTTAACAGTTCGGTGACACCCACGAGCACGGGTATGGTGCTGACAAACCAAGAAACATAATCGGGGCGAACCGGGATTCGAACCCACAATCATAGGTTTATGGCGTGCCCATGGGACGCAACTCTGCACAGCGAATCGCAGCGCCATAGACGACTGGGTCACCCGTCGATAAAATCCCAGTGACACCCCAGCAACTCAAATCAAATTGTCGGTCCTTACTTACAGTATTTGCTTACAACGCGAGGCATATATAAATAGTTTTAACAAGTACATGAACATGTTTATCCAAAACTGATTTTACCTGATGATACAACCTCCGAAATTGGGACACCGAATCTTCTGGCCATAACGCCAAGGACAGAGAAGGTGACAAATCCTGCAAAAATGCTTGTGCCTTCTGACGTTAGGCATAAGATTATGCTGTCCCTGAAAATAGAGTTGACAGCAATATGACCACGCTTATACGAAACAGCAAAGAAACGCTAGTTCCACCTTTATTTTTTTTATAAGTGTAACCATTCCATTTTGTCTGAAGTGATTGGAATATACTGAAATGATGACATATGAGCCAATGCACACAAACATAAAGATAACCACAATCAACCGAAACCATAACATTGCATCTGTTTTCATTATCCGAGGTAAAAGCGCGTACATTATTCACTCCTAAGGTATCGTTTATAAAGGTTGATGTCACACACCGGTTCAATATTCACACTAGAGGGTCTACATTTGAAGTCAACGATGCAAAGACTGTCGTCTGTGCAAATAGGAATGGTCCTTGGAATGTTGCTGGCCGGTAATTATAACACTGCTGTAGCGAGACAATTAGGATGTCATCTCAGGATTGCACAACATCACCAGCAAACAGGATATGTTGCTGATGGACCACGTTCTTGCCGACCCTGACTTACAACACTGGACAATATTGCTTCATAATGGTCACTCAGGGACAGAACACAAGCACCAACAAGACAAGCAGCTTTAGTTCAGGGAGAAGACACTATTCGACGACGTCGACATGCTGCCCAATTCCACTGTCGACGTCCATAAGTGAGATACATTTATGGCGTATCTGCCTAAGATCAGCATCACGATTCATCTCTCTCCCCGGATATGGCTCAAACTGAACATGTTTATGATAAAATTGGACAACAAACACACTTGCACAATGGGAAAAGCGAATATCATTGGAGTGGAACCACCTGCCAAATGCATTCTTTCAGACATTTGGTAACTTGACGTGGCGACGTTGTACCCCTGGATGTTAGCCCAAGGCGGTCATGCTCGCTACGGGGGAGACTGACGTTTTTCATCTCGAAGGTTATCTCTCTTTGACGTTTTGTATGTCTTTGCAATGCCAGTGTGACAACCACCTTCACCTCTTAAAAAGACAGTTCGCTCTATAATTATGTGCTCTGACACCAGTACGTTTGTCTTTTGTACCAAAACTTGAAACGAATGTCAGACTTTGCTTTTCCATTGTATGGTCTCCAAATGCAACATGTTTTCAATATAGATCAGAATAAATAAAAATAACACGATGTATGAATAATTAACGAGATTAATAACGTGTGTTATGCATAGGAGTAAAGATATTGTGAAATAAAATTATATTTTAAATATATACAACTACGTAAACTAAAACGTTATGAGCCTATCCCTTTTCATCTGTCCGAAAATACCATGCATCAACGGGAAAGATGCGCATGACGTCTTCTAAATTTCATGAAAGTCTGAGAAACCACCTTTTCACCTGAAACACTGCATGTCAACTGATGCAGCAGAATAAATCGAAAGGCTATTAAACTTATTTCCATTTTACAAAGATATCTTATTGTTTGTTTGTTGTTTTACGCCGCACTCAGCAATATTTCAGCTATATGACGGCGGTCTGTAAATAATCCAGTGATTGATATCATGAGCATCGATCCACGCAATTGGGATTCGATGACATGCATGAACCAAGTCAGCGAGCCTGACCACCCGATCCCGTCAGTTGCCTCTTACTAAAAGCATAGTCGCTTTTTACAGCAAGCATGGGTTGCTGAAGACCTATTCTACCCTGGATCTCCACGGGTCTAACGATATCTTAAGGTCATTGAAATAGGCTTCAGTATTTAATACGAAAAGATACTTATGAATACAGGATATGCTTTTTTCTGGTGTATACATTACCTCAATGTCGGTTCATTGAACTTGTTGTAGCTGGATGCTGTCATGATTATACCCCAGCCTGGACCAAGACTGTAAAACACCTGGATGCAAGCTTCTAACCAGACCTGTGTTGAGGATGTTTACAAAATCACAATAGTTTGGTTTTGCCTCTTGTGCAATATTTGGGGAAATTCTGTTGCGTCTGTTTTATTGGGAATTATTAATCTAGATTGATGTAAGCTTTAATGGGATTTTGGTAGTAGTATGATGAGTCTTGGCAGGTGCAAGTTGTTGAATTATCACCATGAGCTCCCATGAGCTCCCATGTCCACGTTGTGCGCCACGTTCATATAATTGATTTATCATGATCAGTTTACCCTAGCTTCATAACAGCGTGAGGATCTACATTGAAACGTGGCTAAATACAATAAACCAGATGTAGTTATCCCTAAAGTTATGTTTTCTCAATTACTCGACTACTTCTAGAATGCCAAATCAAACTGTAAACTCAAACATGATATACATACCTGAATTTCAAGGAGTTTGCTAAAATCGGGACTCATGTAATATAACATGCCATCAACAGCACCGGGTAACATGCTTGTCCTGATGATGATCGCTGTCAGTAGAATGTAGGGCAACAGTGCTGTCACATACACCACCTGTAAAAGATAAGAGTGAATGTGCAGACAAATACACTACCTGTAAAATATAAGAGTGAATGTGCAGACAAATACACTACCTGTAAAATATCAGAGTGACTGTGCAGACACATGCACTACCTGTAAAAGATAAGAGTGACTTTGCAGACACATGCACTACCTGTAAAAGAGAAGAGTGACTTTGCAGACACATGCACTACCTGTAAAAGATAAGAGTGACTTTGCAGACACATGCACTACCTGTAAAAGATAAGAGTGACTGTGCAGACACATGCACTACCTGTTAAAGATAAGAGTGACTGTGCAGACACATGCACTACCTGTTAAAGATAAGAGTGACTGTGCAGAAAAATACACTACCTGTAAAAGATAGGAGAGACTGTGCATACACATACACTACCTGTAAAAGATAAGAGTGACTGTGCAGACACATACACTACCTGTAAAAGATAAGTGTGACTGTGCAGACACATGCACTACCTGTAAAAGATAAGAGTGACTTTGCAGACAAATACACTACCTGTAAAAGATAAGAGTGACTGTGCAGACACATGCACTACCTGTAAAAGATCAGAGTGACTGTGCAGACACATGCACTACCTGTAAAAGATAAGAGTGACTTTGCAGACACATGCACTACCTGTAAAAGATAAGAGTGACTTTGCAAACACATGCACTACCTGTTAAAGATAAGAGTGACTGTGCAGACACATGCACTACCTGTAAAAGATAAGAGTGACTGTGCAGACACATGCACTACCTGTAAAAGATAAGAGTGACTTTGCAGAAAAATGCACTACCTGTAAAAGATAGGAGAGACTGTGCATACACATACACTACCTGTAAAAGATAAGAGTGACTGTGCAGACACATGCACTACCTGTAAAAGATAAGAGTGACTGTGCAGAAAAATGCACTACCTGTAAAAGATAGGAGAGACTGTGCATACACATACACTACCTGTAAAAGATAAGAGTGACTGTGCAGACAAATACACTACCTGTAAAAGATAAGAGTGACTGTGCAGACACATGCACTACCTGTTAAAGATAAGAGTGACTGTGCAGACACATGCACTACCTGTAAAAGATAAGAGTGACTTTGCAGACAAATACACTACCTGTAAAAGATAAGAGTGACTGTGCAGACACATGCACTACCTGTAAAAGATAAGAGTGACTGTGCAGACACATGCACTACCTGTAAAAGATAAGAGTGACTTTGCAGACACATGCACTACCTGTAAAAGATAAGAGTGACTTTGCAGACACATGCACTACCTGTAAAAGATAAGAGTGACTGTGTAGACACATGCACTACCTGTAAAAGATAAGAGTGACTGTGCAGACACATGCACTACCTGTAAAAGATAAGAGTGACTTTGCAGAAAAATGCACTACCTGTAAAAGATAGGAGAGACTGTGCATACACATACACTACCTGTAAAAGATAAGAGTGACTGTGCAGACACATGCATCACCTATAAAAGATGAGAGTTATTATGCAGACAAAGTTATATAATTGTTCTTGACATTGATTGATTTAGTGTGCAAATGTTAACTTGTGTGACATTGGACCACCTGTATGGTCTTTGCTGGTCAATATAATGAGTTTGCCGTAGTCTTTCAAAAAAAAAGATATCGATTGCAACAACGTTTATCATTGCTGGGCCCATTGACACAAATGGACCAGATGGAGGCAACCTTCCTCATGGGGTGAATGTAAGATTTCCATTCAGGGATACTGTTGGTTTTCGATCACAAAGTGATTTAGGTTATTTGGAAAACCTACAAATTCACATATTAACTAAAATCCACTGAGGCGGGGAAATGTTTGTCCTTTCTAAAGAATTACCATGAGCGTCACATAACCTCACCTTCCCTGTAGCTTTGACTCCACGAAAAAGACAGAGAAAAATAATAATGTACGAAGCAAACAAACACCCAAGAATATGCCACTGAATTGAGCCAACTTCGTGTATTCCACTTGAAATTCTCAGGACGTTGTACCTGAAACAGAGGGGAAATGATAGTGGCATCTTCCAGAAAACAAGAGATGAAATTTAGGACTGTCAAGTTTTTTGCAGTTATTAATGCATTAAATGTAATCACTTTTATAGACACACGCACTGTCCAAATAGGAAGTTACTGACATGCAAGTCAGAGAAGGTTACACAATATTGTTATACATGTATGGCAGTGTAATGAACTGTTAAACAATGTTGTAATTGTATCATATTGTTTCTGTTAAAATTCAGTATAAGTGCATTGCATTGCGGTTTGACAATGGTTAGTTGTTGGGAATTCAGTACTATGTAATGTAAGCAGTGATGTGGAAGTTAGTATATTTAGATGCTTTTGGAGTCTTGTATAATCTGGAAGCTTCTAAAACAGCCAGACTAACACAGCACAGTATAGAACCTTCTGGAAGGTATTTAACGTATATAAGGGGGCACGAGCCTGCCTCTACCATCTGGGCCTACCTCTACCATCTGAGGTTTCATCTCACATCATGACCAGCGGATGTTTGAAGATAAATGTTTTCACCCTGGAATTCAAGCCAAAGCCTATTTTGGAAGCTTGCCCACTGTTGCTGCTAGGCTAATATTATTATCCCTGACGTGTTTGCTTATTCTACTGCTATGGTATTTTATGCTTCCACTGAATTTGCACTCGCCATTGTACTGACATTCTATAGTGCAGTGCCACTCTAATTACTTAGCCGTAAGTTGTATTGATTACCTAGTTAAGTTTTAAGTGCAATTGTCGATTGTATTCCATTTCTTTTTGGTTTGTTGATTTCACACTGAATCACACTGAATCACACTGAATCACACTGAATCACACTGAATAAAGATTTAAATATTTAACTATGTCTACGTGTGCCTTGCAATATATACTATAAGTGCTTCTGTGGTTTTAAGAGAAACCAACCTATGAGGTGATTGATATTGTAAGCAACGATCTACATCGTCAGGTTATGATGACCGAATCAGTCAAGTGACCCAATCAGTCAAGTGACCGAGTCTGACCACCTGGTTGCTTGAGTCTTATTCTAACCCGGACTAATGTACATAATATTAACCGAAATGACAAAACTGTAATGCAAACAAACAAACATTCTGTGCAGTCATTGAATATATATATCATCATCTGCTGGCAACATGTGGTGATGTAGTGAAAATACATTGTTTATATATTTACACAAACTATAACTGTACATCTGTATTTTACATGTGGTAAATTGACCAAAAATAGATTTGTAAGAAGCTGGAAAGCGAAACAAAAAAAGCAAAAAAAGTGTTATTGAAAGTCAAATAAGATTTTATGAATAATAGGAAATATGAACATTTTGCAAAGAATCCCAACTTTATTCGCCAGCAGGAACAAATAGAGGCAGAATAAGAATCGTCAGTGTCAGAAATGAGATGGGCAGATCAACACGTACGTTTCTTAATTAGTGACGTTGTACCAATGTCACAGTTAAAGTTAAAAGTCAGTATCTGGTGTAGCTACCCCACACACGGATCACATCCGCAAGAAGTCTCCCCACGCTCAAAATCCCGATCCCAACCGAGGGTTGTGATGCCATCCTTGATGCAATGCGTGTGTCAATTCTTGGAGGTTCTGTACTGGAGGGCCCCTGGTTCTAACCCTAGGCCCCAAATCATGCCATAGATGCTCGATTGGATTCAGGTCTGGGCTTCAAGAAGGCCACGGCAGAGTCACAGTGGCGTTGTTCTGAACATGGTCAGTCAACTGTCACCCAATGAAGTTTACAATCAAAAGAGCAAAATCCCTGTTCCATCACCAGATCCCACTGTTTCCTGGATGTTGCGCTGATGATAAAATGCGTTTCTTTGCCTCCAGACACGAGTCCTACCAATCCGTGTGGTGCAACAAAAAACGACTCTCGTCAGACTAATGAATCTCCTCCATGACGTCAACTTCGAGTGTTCTTGAGCCTGAGATCAGGCTGAACCACGTTGAGTAGGGTGAGAGGAGAAGACGTCTTAATAGTCTTCTGGTCCTTAATCCTGCTGCATTAACCCGACGTCTAATAGTGCTAAGGGACACTCTGTTGTAGGTATGCCAGTGATGATGACGAACAGTTCAAGTTGGAGTTGGCAGCCATTTTGTCTGGCATACAAGGTCCCTCTCCTCTCTGGCACTGGTCTTCCGTGGACGTCATGATATCGGCAAGTCCCTCTCATGTGCAGTCAATGTGTGTTGTCTAATGAGTCGACTGATTACAGTATCATTAATGTACAATACAGTGGCAATAGCCCGACACGACATCCCAGTCTTGTTTACAATCCCTGATTTTGTGTGATAGTGTGCTCAGGCATTTCAGATACAAACGTTCCAAGGACAGACTTTCCAATTGGAAGAACTTTCATGCAAAATAAATAGCAGTAAAGTCGAATGCACTTTCTCTCATCAAACATATTTTTCTCTTTAGAGACCCCTTTGGCGTGCATCCGGCTCGAAAAAACGCACCCACAAGGCTGGGCAGTTACGTTGGCTACAAATCCTACAGGAAGCTGATGTGTCAACACACAGTGTACCATTTAAGATGTCTACATTGAGAAAGAACTTGCAAATACACTTCAAATTTTGTGGTGCGATGCTTTTGAATGAGGTGAATATTTATTATTAAAAGAGGCACTGGTCTGGCCAACATATTAATCTGAAGCATGTACATAACTGTCCACTTACTGATAGAATTCCTCGACAGCAGAGTGAGCCAAAGTCTTGTTCCTCCATAAGTCTTTAATGTTATTGACAGTGCCATTACTGTTGCCCACATCAGTTGAGTTCTTGAATCCAGAAGAGTGTGTGAAAGAAGACTTGAAAACAGAGATGTCCTCAACACATAGCTCTGTGTTCCACCAGTTACCACAGGTTGTCCAGGGCAGGACACTGGAGCAGGACTTCACCATGTAGTAGATAGGCCAGGCCAGAAGGATTTGATAATAGGGTAGGCAAAGAACCAATTGTATCAAGATCCCAATGCCAATACCTGTCAATAGTTTCAATGAAAGTATACACAAATCCACTGGCAGTACTATATGCAACAACTGCATAATGAGGTTGGGTCAACTTAATTCAGTCATTGTAATATGATGTCAACCGAAAGCCTGTCAATCTTGTTGATCGTTATGAGGATACATATAAATGCATTGACAGTATCAAACTTAGTTTTTTGCTACATATAAATAGAAAACGACAAAAATGTATTTTTTTGCACAGATAAAAGACCATGTCATTGCACAAAAACCCAGATGAGAAAATATATTGGTTGTGATCTCTTTGATAGCACCTCGGTAATGGCACCAACACCTTGCGAGACCTCCTCGGGCGCGACGCCTCATTGATGATATAAGCCTCCTGTTGACATGGATAGGTATGTAGTACTACTACTCCAATAACGCAGATGTATCCGTTGCACAAAATGACCCCAGAGTTGTTCTATCGGTGAGAGGTTGGGTGCGTTCACTAATTGATGTTGAGAAAGTGCTGTAGTATTTGAGCAGAGTGAGGCCTCACATTGTCCTGTTGGAACAGTATCCCTTGTGGCTGTCTTGTGAGAATGGGTAGGACATCTGGTTGCAGATGGACGTCCATGTAACGTTAGGCGTTTCAAATGTCTTCAAATACATGTGCAGCATGTGTTATCAATCACTGGATTGTCTGAATGATTGACTCGAATATTTTCAGACCGCTGTAATAAACAACAAACAAACAAAACAAACAATCCTTCACCTTGCAATACACCCCAATACGACCGCCGGGATAGTACGAATTCAACCTTTTCTCTTTGTTGAACAGTCCACTTTACTAATCACATTGTTGCCACTATCGCACAGTTCGAGACGACAGACATCAAGTTCGTCAAAGCTGACGAGACAAGGTCATTCTGCGCTGGGATCAGAAGAATGGAATTCCTGCAGCATGTGTTATCGCCTTGATAGTGTATGTTCGCTGATACAGCGCCCCAGTCCCGCAGAAGTATGTCAATGGTAAGAGGGCACCAACACGTGCATGATGGACCTGCGTACCGCCATCACCACTATTCCAAGACCTCTCTCTCTCTCAGCTTGCTATTTTTACCCTCTAAACATATGGTGCTATCATCAATACCTGGAATATACGTTTGGGTAACACTTTTCAAACTGAATTCTTATTTTTCCTTTTGCCAAAGTATCAAAACAATTCAAAATTTAACAATGTATACTTTCGTTTGATCGTCATCATCATTGAAGGATGCTAATCCTTAATCAAAGATAATAAAATATTGGCGTACCTTTGAGGAGAGGACAAAAATTCCACACCTTGAAGGTTCCTTTTCCAGAGAACTGTCCCAGATATGATTCCAGGTACATCAACGGCAATGTTGTTGACACGAGGAGTATTAGGAATGGAATTAGGAAGGCACCTGTTAAAAACAAGAGACACAAGTTACATCGATTTAACTTCTATATTCTTTAGGCATTTTGTTTGGAGACTTTTTCTTGCACGCATTTTAGGCAGTGATGAAAGATCTCAAGAGTGCCATAATTATTATGGAATTGACAGATGTCATTTATGCTTTAATGGGTTTTTTCAAAGGTATTGAGACATGACATTATAAGACTTAATATAGAATTTAGCTTCCATCAGTCCAGTCTATGATAGCTCTGCTGATTCTAAATACAATGCAGCTATTTTTCCGTAATCCTCTCCATTTCAACGAACACACAAGTAAACACAATGGTTTTGTAATGGTATCGCTGCATATTTACCCCCACCATTCCTGTTGCAGAGGTACGGAAATCTCCACAGATTACCAAATCCCACACAGTAGCCAATCATAGACATAAGATAGTCCACTTGAGACGACCACTGGCCACGTGTTGTATGATGATCTTCTGGTATTTCATCATGGTCGTTCTCAGTGGTATTGACATTCACCAACTCTGTGATGTCATTGGGTGGAACACCGTCCCTCTCTGTGGACTTGGTGGCTGCCATCACTGATAAATGACACGGACAATTCAATGAAAGTGTTCAAAAGTTTCTCATAAACAACAAAATAAATAAAGTTGCATAGTCTGTGTCGTTACAGGGCAACTATTCTGAATGGACCAGGATGTGTTACAAGACTTGTCTGATAACCGACGACATAGTATACAAAACCTTGCAAGGTATGAAATATATTTAAAGCATTTTGATTTACCACCATCTACATAACTATCTCTCAGAATAATTTCAAAGTGAAAATACTTACTGTATTCAATTTTGCATTTTCTTTCGAATAATGTTGTTCGGAAATTTTGTTTAATTACAATTTCTATTGGATGCGGGACCCGTGAAGATTCCGGGGTAGAATAGGTCTTCAGCAATCCATGCTTGCCGTAAAAGGTGGCTATGCTTGTCGTTAAAGGCGACTAATGGGATCGGGTGGTCAGGCTCGCTGACTTGGTTGATGCATGTCATCGATCCCAATTGCCTGGATCCCTGATTTGCGTAGTCACCTTTTACGGCAAGCATGGGTTGCTGAAGACCTATTCTACCCCGGAATCTTCACGGGTCTGATCTGTATGTAGTTATGTAAGACACTTATATTCAAATGCTCGGTGATCCAACAATCCAGAATTGATCAAATTCAGAACAGAATTAATGTTTTCACCAACTTTCCCATTTTTGGTTTTGAAAAATGCATGGATTTCGGTTTCTGCTTGAGTTACAACATCATAACTTGAGCCAGCTTCGATACCCGTAGCTATATTTTCTGTTTTATAAATATTTTGCAGTTCATTAAATCAACTCAAACATTATGGACTGGCAACAAAACTGTCGACCTTGGTTGCAAAACACTGCCTCTTACCCCAAATATCATTTATTCTGTATTTGACCTTGGCCAGATAGTCAGATACTGGCAAAATGTGAGCGAACGTTCATCGTTTCATGTTACGCCAGCCAATGGTTGCCTCATATGGGTCACCACATCTGCCTGGTTTTTAAGGCACAGTATTTTCTATGCATGGCGTCAACTTGAATTGAAATGTCTTTGAAAAGAAAGTAAAATGGAAGATCTCTTTTAGGTATGACAGAAGCAAGGAGATTGTATGACTTAACTGAAGACGTCTAGACTTGCTAAACTATTATGTACATGCAGATAGGTTTTCATTCATCGTTTGTTTGCTTTTGTGCTTGATAACATCATTGTTGGGGAAGGTTGTAACATTTTATATTGCTGCTCTTGATATTGTTGATCTAAATTGGATACAAGTACAGCATATAGCTTATATGAGAAGGCAATATACATCCAAAATGACATAAATAGAACAATGTGTGGCACATGCAATATCTAAAATGTAAGGGAAACTTTGATAATTAAATGGAACAGGACTCATTCTCAGTCATTTTGCTAGACTTGATAGTAAAGCTTTTAAGGTAAGGACATAGCCGTGGTGAATACAATGTAGTATTTTGGTGACTACCATATGGGTCGATCTAGACCTAGGTATCCAACGATTAGACACATTCAGTTCGGAGTGTTGTGACAAGTAATCTGTTTACAATAATAGAACACTGTCAACAACAACAGATCACAACATAAAGATTTATGTCGTGTTAAAGTGACAAAGGAGAGTCCCGAGTCTATGTACTCTGGACACATAACAATTAGAGGGCGGAAGAAATTGAAGGAAATATCGAGAGGAAATTTCCTTCAACATAATGTCTTTATTTAGTCATACGACCAGTGTTTTATATATATATATATATATATATATATATATATATATATATATATATATTGTTTTATGACAAAGATAAACGAAACAACATGATTTATTTAATTGCAAGCAATACAAGAATCAATATCGGTATATGTTCTCTGGTAACATATATCGGTCTGTCACCTTCTACAAAAAAGTTGTGATAGCCGGTGTAGGAGGAAAATACTCACCTCATACTTTCTGCATACTGTTTTGGCGATAAGCAGCAGCCTATCCTACTTAATTACTGATCCAAACTTAAAATTGGCTGTATATACTGTTTAAATACATCATGTTATACGTCAAGGTGTAATCTTTTTAAAATGACTTGACAGCTCTATTAAAACTTTTTCCAGCTCTCCAAATGTTTCTAATGTTTTATATACTCAACAATAAAAGTTCCTGTGACACCAATATTTTAGTGTATTTTTCAAACAAGTAAAGTTTGGTTTTCAATATTGTAGTACATATATGGAATCAAGTCACAAAAACGCAACTCCAACAGAAAAGCATGCATTCCATGGAAAAGTTTACTTTTATGCAAGCCCCATGCATTTCACTAACCAAGAATGGGTATTAAAACATGTGCGTTAACGGGATTCCTTATGCGTTGTTTAGCATCGTACTGACAACAACCACTCACAAAAACGACAAAACTACGCAATTATTCAACATTACGAAATGCCACGCCTGTCCCTAAAAGAGCGCCTGCGAGCCATTGGTATGCTTGAAGCAGGATCCAGTCAACGTGATGTTGCAAGACAATTTAACGCCCACAGAAACACCATTTGGTGTTTATGGCAAGGTTGGCAACAGACGGATGCAGTCAGAGACCATCCTCGGAGTGGCAGGCCACGAGTAAACAATAATCGACAAGACAACTGGATTCGAACAACACACATACGAAATCGATTCCATTCAGCAACAGTGACTGCAAGAAGCATCCCTGGCCTTCGACGAATATCTTCACAAACCGTACGTCGTCGCCTCAGATGTGCAGGGATTGTCGCTAGAAGATCCGCCAGACGTCCCATTTTGACAGGAAACCACTGTCAAGGACGTCTACAGTTGTGCAGACAGCGTCTACGCTGGACGGCCATGCAGTGAGGACAAGTTCTTATCACTGACGAGTCTCGTTTTCACCTCAGCCACAGCGGTGGACGGATTCGAGTGAACAAACTTCGAGGTGAACGTTTCCTCAATCATTGTGTCATGGAAGAAGATCGGTTCGGGGGCGGCAGCGTTATGGTATGGGGTGGGATTACAGCAAGACAGAGGACCCGTTTGATAGTGGTAGAGGGAAATCTCAATGGACAGCGCTACCGCGACGAGATCATCGGCCCTGTTGTTCTACCGTTTTTGCGTCGTCATGGCCCAGGCATTACCTTTCAACATGACAACGCCCGGCCTCATATTGCTCGACTTGTTCAAGATTCTCTTCAACAGAACAACGTGAATGTCATCCCCTGGCCGGCTCGCTCCCCTGATCGCTCACCAATCGAGCACATGTGGGAAGAGATGGATCGGCGCCTTCGACGTCAACCACGTGTATAGGGCAAGAAATGGGGGAACTCATGTGCATCGGGTTACCATTGCCGTTGCCGTGATGCGTTTGGGCGATCGGTTTTATTGTCATCTGATTTGTTTTTTATCATCAAATTTCATTTTTCCGGACAAGGTAATGTTCAATTTGAGAAATTTTTACAAAAATTACCCAGATATTTAAATGACAACCTTTCATGCAATGTAACTTGGGGTGACGTTTCTTTTGCGGTTCAGTATATTAATACATTTGTCATTTCATATATTCATATATATTCAATGCTTTCACAATTAAGTGTAATACCAGCTACGCGCTTCTGTTTAATTCATTATTAAAGGTTGTTGAATATGTATTTGATCCCCGTGCAAGTATTAACTATGCAACATACGCCAAAAGTCACAAACTTTCATTTGTCATCATGGTTTTTAATGCAAGTGATACTAATTGACTGAAGCACATCATGGGAGTCAGTCTCAGGTACACAATTAATTTTAATTCATAAAAATATGATATATGGAAATATATTTCCATGGAAGTACATTAAAAATAAATTTATGAGTCGAACAATGACTATACCGATGATGAAAACATAAAAATAGCATGTGCTAAAAAACGATATGCATTGGCAATTAATGAATCATTCATTAAAAGTGTACATTGCGTCGACATAAAACCTGTCACCAAAGGACGACAATACAACTAGTAAAGCATGACAGAATTGTTTTAAAACTAAGTATAGCATAACGGCATTCAAAAACAGATAGATAGATAGACAGACAGACAGACAGACAGACAGACAGACAGACAGACAGACAGACAGACAGATAGATAGATAGATAGTTTTTGTGACTTGATTCCATACATGTACTACAATATTAAAAACCAAACTTTACTTGTTTGAAAAATATATTAAAATATTGGAAGTCTTTTATTTGTACTAAGGCCACTGGCCCATATACAATACATACATTTAAAATGGTGTGGTACATGAAGAAAAGTTAATGTCAGGTAAAGATTTACACATTTACAGGCTTTTCATCATTACGTCTTCTTTCATAGCTGTAATACAGGTATTTACATAGTTTCGCAAGTAATTGTTTACATGAAGATGGCAGCAGCGTTTTAAATTTATGCATATTTGGATTATGACAAAAAGTTGTTGGTAAATACATTAACTGTTGTCTAATATCGTTGTAACTCTATCCTTGTTTCACATATGGGGCAAAGCCGTAATCGTAAATCAATATCGGCCCATTTACCTTCGTTTACCTTAAGTCTCAGTAGCCATCTCTAAGCCTTATCATAACATTTCGATACTTTATTTCAGTAATAATGGAAAGGTATTTTACTGGTTTCAGGAGATTTTAAACTCTTTATACAGAATATACCTAGAACTAGCCTTGATAGTACTATTCAATGATTGGTAGAACAAATTTATCAAAACGTTTACAAAACTATCAATGAATGATGGTTAATCGCCAACAGCTTGACTGAGCCAAACAACTCCAAATCCGTGAGAAAATAATATGAAACGAATAGAAGAAGCATAGTTCTGATAGCCACACTTCATACGTTATATACAAGCATGTTATAAGATTTTCTTGGTATCCTATCTTCGTCCATTTCAATCACTTTTAGCCAATATTTTACAGAACGACACATATAGTGGGTATCGACCGCATTCCCCATATACAAATCATTTGGTG